CCCCAAAACCCCAAAACCCCTTGCTTCAGATTTATTGCTTGATAGGTGACTAATTAAGTAAAATCAATACTAATGATTAAATTTATTTACTTTCACCTCTTCAAGTCTTTTTGGAGATTAACCCAAGTCAGAAGCCATTTTAAAGTCATCAACCGCCAACGAGTCATTTAAATTAGCAACACCCATAGTGTTAAGCTAGCTTGTAATACTACCTCGACTAGCCATATCATTAGTTGGTCTACTTATACTTGGTCTATTTTATGGGAGGCCATTAAAGCCAAAAGTAGTATTTAAGTTATCTTTACTCATAAATTACTGAACTCCACCGAATAGCTTCTTTTTTAGTTCACTTGCATTGAATTTATTTTTCATCAATGGTTGATTAACATTTTAAAATGGAATCACTTTCTTCCAAAAAGTATTCTACTTCCTCAATAAGTTTAGTCTTTAAATATCTTCAGTAGTAAGATTTAGCATATTAAATAGAATACTTTCTAAGGGGCCAATTTGCTTCATGTTATTCTATGCAAGGTATTCTAGATACTTAACAAATATGTTCTTGATGTACTCAATATTTTTAAGGTACTCGTCTCCTGGGGCATTAACTGTATTATCTTTGACATTGATATTATTTTTAACCAGTTACTTATCTAGATTATTTAGCACTTCTAGGTTTTGAGAACTAATTTCATCCCAGTCAGAAGTAGGATCCTCTTACTCTAAATCTTTTTCTAGTTCTTTTAGCCTTTAAATTTCTTCTTCTCTTAGCATTCCAATTTTATTGATCTCATCCTGCGTCAAACCTTTTTAATTCTTCAAATAGTATTCAAATTTTTATACAACCATTTTTATCTTCTAGATATGAACATCCTTTTTTATTAGAAGATTACGAGCTTTGAGTTTGCTATGCTCAATTTAGTCGTATAGATCATTTTTAATTTGTTCGAGATCTTAAGCTCTCTATCTAAGAATTTAGACTTCATCTAATGAATCATCACCATATTAGGAATAAGCTTTAAGATTGTTTTCGCTTTATCTTCTATCATTACTCTCAGCTTTTATAATTTCCTCTTAATCTATGACTTGACTTTACTTCAGTTTATTGCTTTCCTCTATGGCATTAATTGTTTGATTAGCTAGTGAGAGTTATTCTGTCAAGTCTAGTATCTTATTAGTCTTGTCAGATAGTTGCTACTTAAGTAGTTAGAGCTCATCACTATCAACACCGGATTATTGATTATTTTCAAGTCCTGTTTTACCTGTCTTGATCACCTGCAATAATTATTTGCCCTTCATCTCTTAATACTCATTTGCTACATTTCTCAAACTCTCAATTTGCTCATCTTTCTCTTTAACTAAATCTTCGAATCCCTTAATCTATCTCTCAGCTTCCTTAAATCTGATATTTATTGAGTTATTTTAGAGTGCTTGATTTTTCTATTATTCTTGTTTATACATTGTTGTTAGATCCATTATCTTTCTTTTGAGGTTTTCATTTTCTTCCTTATACAATGGCAGTAAGTCATCAAATCCAACTTATTGCTAATTTTACGGTTGCTTTTACTGCTATTATTACGAACTTTAATTATTAGCACTATTCTATTGCTATACCAAGGCATTCATAATTTCAGCATGTGACTTTATCATTGTTTCTAAGTCCATGAGAAGTTTTCCTTCTTTATCAAACACATTAAAATTTTTGCCATTATAATTGGAGGGAATCACTTGTTTGATAAAGTCCTCAAGTATGGTCTTTTCCTTCTATGTATCTTTCAACTATTTGACCTTCTCTTTATAACGTTCTTCAATCTTCTTTTTGAAGATCTCATTCTTCTTTAACTCATTGCTCTATTTTTTCAAAGTAAGTACCAATGATTCATATGGTATCTATTACTCTTCTTACTTAAGCTCTTCTTTGCTTTAAGGCTATGAGATTTCTGTCTAATCAGGGGTGAGATCCTAGTGGTTATTAAAATTAGAATCTGCTCGATTTAGATTTAATGGGGTTATATTAGCTGAGTCTAAGTCTTCAGGCTAGTCAGACATTTAAAATTAATTATAATTCAAAAATTTGACTAATTTAATTAAACATTTGAAGAAAAAAACAATAAATTAATTATCCACAATTAGTGGGCTTAAATTAGTATTAATCAAGAACTTAAATTAGATATGGTATGTAATTTTTAAAGTTAAGCAACCATATATAATCACAAATCAATAACTTGATTTCTCATTTAATCAATTAAATTAAGCTTATCTTCTATAACCGTTTTGATCTAGAGCACCTCCATTATAAACTTGATTTTACTGCATTTACCAATCATAAGATTATTGATTATTTGTAGGGTAATTTGGCTACGAGTAGGGCTAAGGCTCTTACTAAATATAACTGCTTTAATTTATTCTAGAATAGGATGCATTTATACCTAAATCATGATTACTTTGCTAATTAAAGCTTTATTAATGACTAGGAGTGTAGAATCTGGATTAGTTTTACGAAGTTTCTACCTCCTATTTAGCCTAAAGATAAAATGGATTTTGCTTGTATGAGTATTATTACTATTGATGAGCAGGCATCTGCATTTATTGATTTTAATTTACTTGAGACTATCCGAGACTATATTTATTTGTCTAGATATTGGTTTATTGAGGAGCTTCATAGTAATTTTAGATCGGTTTTTAATGAGGTAAGATTTACTGATGTAAGATTTAATTGTTTCCTTATCCATAGTTATTATTCTAGATTCCTCTTTGACTTTCCTAAAGTTGCTGTTCAAAGAATGAATTCGGTCTTTTACTTGCAGATGCTTGCATACTTCTATCACTTTATTAACTTTGGTTAAGCATCACTGATTCTTATGCCTTTTATTCATACTCAATTTCATCAATTATATTGAAGAGACTATCGTCATATTGATTCAAATGAGTTTACGAAGTTGGGACATTATGTAAACTTGCTTAGCTGGAAGAAGTCTATTTTGGCTAGAATGACATAAACTACTAGGAGTTGATTGTGTTTTATGTTCCTTAAAGTGAAGACTTTTAAAGTGGATTATATTCAGATCGCTAATTCAATGAATATACTAAATCATCTTCTTCATCTGAATAAACCTCTGAAGGTATTGTTTATGGCTAGAGAGTTAGAGTGCTTTAGAGGTTGGTCACATTAAGTGGCTATGATTAATTTAGTTGATGTGTTGGCGGCTTCCCTTGCTTCTGATTATGAAGGATTTAAGTCTGTTACTAAATCAATTATTTATAGAATGAACCTCCACCTGATTTCGATTAGCTAAGCGTAACATTTTAATCTCTTTCTGCATCTTGAAATCTGCCTGTTTGAGCATCTGAATCAGTCTCTGATTGCTTATCCTTTTAATTCAATCTTTGCTATATTTCCTTGAACATTTACATCTTTTACGCAAGCAGCTCTTCTCTTTTACTTAATGACTCAGGTTCTGGAGGTGCTTACTACTTTGGTCTTGGTGTAGATTAAACACTCGCCTCATCCTCATCATATTCATCCAACTCATTTTGTGCTTTTTATATTAATTTAGCCATTTTATCTTAGTCAATAGTTAACTTTTTAATACTGCTTGACTGTAATCCACTTCTACTTGAGGCTCTCTAAGATCCTAAGGCACTATCAGATCTCAATGTAGCCTTTTTGTTAGAATTTGTTAATTTGGACTATAAAAGGTTATTTGTGATTTCAAGATTCTTAGCCAGTTGGTCTTACAAAGCATATAAATCATCTATTTTCATCTCTTATAGATCTTCTCTATCAAGTGAATTAGTTTAAAGAGAAGACCTTTATTATCTATTGCTTGTTGAACCTTTTTGATTTGAGTTTTTATGAGGATTTTTTCTGATCAATTCTTGCTCTTATTTAACTGATTCTTTTAAGTTTCTTTAAACCTTATTTTGTTGATTTTAATTTTTATGCTAGTTTTTCCACCAGGTTTATTCTAAAGACTCATCATGATCGCTATCTTCACCCTCAATGTTATCTACCTCCTATTCCTATTATTATAATTGTCTATTACTAACTATTTTCTCTTTGGATCTTCTATTTTAATCAGGACTCATTTTTATATGTTTCAGACTAGTTGTTAGTTTGACTATTTCATTTTTAAGATCTGATATTTCCTTAAGAGTACTTACTGTTTGATCATTTAAGCTTACACTCATTTCATTTTGCTTGAAACTAGATTAATTTATCTAATTGTTACGATAGCTTTGCTTTGATTCATTTATACTTTGATTCTATTAATATTTTTACTATTGCTATTAATCCATTAAAATGCTAAGCTATTTATTTTTCTCCTCTCTTTCCATTTCAATCTACACTTTCTATCTTTCAAGCTCTTGCTCTCTTCTAATAAGCTCATCCTTTACCTTTTAAAGCTCTTCCTCTCGCTTTTATTTATCTCTTTCAACCTTCGACTGATCCTCCTTAAGTTGCTTTAGCATTTGGAGTGATTAAGTAAACTTGTCTTTCATTTGATCCCTTTCATCTTCATAAAGAACAGACATCTGTTCTAATTCTTTTAATCTCTTACCCATTTCAAGTTTTTCTTGCTCATATTTCTTGGCATACTCCTGCTTTTATTTAGACTCGATAGCAAGTTTCTTAACCAACTCTCCTATTTTAGCCTTATCCTCTGGACACAGCTCAGAAAGCCTGGCACCATTTGACATGCTTCTTTCATTTTAGATATTACCAAGTGGTTTGGTTGGTTTGACATTCTCCTTAGTAGATTGCTTTTTAAATTGCTAAAACCTTGTAAGTCTACCTTCATCTACCTTATTATTGCTCGATTCTCTTTTATCCTTAGAATTCGATGTCTTTTTCTTTTTAATTATGACTGTATCTCTATCTCTATGGGGTGAATTTGAGCATGATGAATTCTATTAATATGTTTGCTACTATTCCTACTATTCAAATTAATCTACCTCTTGGAAATTATAGGAGGTTCTCGCCTTGTTTTGGTTCTTGATAGACTCTGTAGAGTTTCTCAGAATGTAAGACTCAAGATCCTTAGAGGCATTTTTAGAGGTATTTATAGAGGTTTGCTTGAAAGGTGATTAACACCTAAATGGTGCTTTAAGAGATGTGTTATGAGAAGTAGTAATTGAAGATGGCACGAATTTTTAGCTTTTCATATTTTGCTAATGTAATGATATCAATCTATTTTAAATTTGATTTAAACAATCTAATTATCCGCGATATGCAGAGAGAAGGGGTTTTGGGGTTTTGGGGTTTTGGGG